CTCTCTCTCTCTCTCTCTCTCTCTCTCTCTCTCTCTCTCTCTTTCGATCGGGGAGGAACGAAAAGCTCGTAAAACCGAAGGCGATCGTTTCGCGGCTTATCTGCCGATTTCGTGCCCGCAGCCCGGATGAAAGGACGTGAATTACAAATGGGTTAACTGTCAAGTTATCTCGCATTATATTCCCGTGTCAACCGCATATGCCCCCCGGTGTTTCGGCGTAACAGTTACGACATGCTTTACGATTTAACGTTCCGCGAATATGCGCGGCTTCGCTAATGCGAATCCAGCGCGGCGATCAGATATCGGCGGACGCGGCGCCGATTTTCGCATCGGCTCGGCCATTCATCGGTAACGCGACACGTGGTGGTCGGTGATGGTGGTGGTGCTGGTGAATAGCGACACGTGTGCGAAAAATGAACACGATTCTCGGATCAAACTGTACACCCGCCCGCCCGGTGAGTTCGTTATATTCGGCACGCATTTTTTGCGAACCAGGAAGAGCCGACAATAAAGCAAATACCGCGGTAACGATAACCGGCACGCAACGTGCATATTCGCCGGATTTTAATATGTATTCGAAATAGTGATGTTCCCGCGCGCATTTTTGCCCGCTCGTAGAATGCATTTTATCGCGAAGAGCTGTCGATGGTGCGCCACGGCGGGATTATGAGAGAGCCGACGACGCGAAATTACAGCGTGTCGCGCGCCAGCAAGCGAGTTCGACTGCGAAATTGAACGTTAAAGGGCAGAGGGATAGAAAAAGGGCGAAATTTCCGCCAAGGCACAAAAGCGAAAGTTTTTAGCGGGGTCATTGAAATTTTTTTTCCGTCCACGGGGATGGATGGAAGGACGGCGGCGGCGCGTTGCGCACTTATAAAGCTTTATGGAACGTATCCGGGGCGTTAGGAAATTCATGAATTTTCTCGCTCGGGAGTCCCGCGAGCAAATTCTAAGTTTCGCCGAGCGTTTCCAGTCACGCAGCACTCAATCGACAGAAACGCTTATGTATAGATACCGTGCCGTCCATTTTCACAGAGAGGGAGAAACTCGCGTCGTAAAGCGGCGGAAAGTACTATTCTATTATGCCGCGGGATCATACAATGGAAATGACCGTCTCGCGCGATATCGTACGGCATAGCAATGCGCCACGGATATACAAGAACAAATTTCTTTACATATTTATATATTACGTAATATATCCGCGCCTTTACACAATAAGCCGTATTGAACATCCTTCGGACGAGTCGCGTGTCGAGCTCGAGAGCAGCGTCGAAACAAGCGACTCGCGCAAACGAGTCTAAAAACGGGAGATTGTCGTATTAATATTGTTGTACTGATTATCACACGTGTAATACGGACGTGAGAATTCGGTAGTTTTAATTGAGCGCGAGAGGCGATAAATTGATCGTTGTATATAAATCCAAAGCTGTCCAAGGATGCAGGGGGGTGATTGAGAATTGGAGACCGCCAGTTCGTTGACAACGGGATTACGCCGTAAATCAGCGCCTTCGGAAAACATAATCTGTCAGTGGGCAAACACGCGTTACGCGCGCACTCGACACTCCAATTCATTTTCCGCATAGAGTTTCCGACGGTTAGCAATTACACGATATTTAACGTTTCGCCGCTTGCCCGCATGCGCGGGGTTTGTGTATCAAATTAGATCCGCCGGTTTTAAACTCATTACAAGCTTTGGTGATGCTTTTTTCCCCATTTTCTTTATTTTTCTTTCCCTCCCCACGTTGGTATGCATTCACGACCGAACTGTGTGCGGTCTGCTTTTAAAGGAACGCGTTTTCCCGTCACCGTTGTATTCCTGCGCCCGACAATTTTAGGTATATAATTTCTCTGCCCCGGAGAAATTTCATTTTCTGCGATAATTACATTTGGACACTTAATGAATTAAAATTAAATATCGCAACAAGAATAGCCCGGGAAAAGCGCTATATATAAAGCTTTAACGGGAAACCTTTAAATGGAGATTCGCGAGCGCGCGAATAAACCTTCTCTTACTTATATCGAACGCATTCTCGTGTATGGTGCCGCGTGAATAAATTTCATTGCTCTCACCGTGTTTTATTTTCACTCCCCCTTCCTCCTTTCCTCTCTTTTCCCTTCACCTCTTCCCTCTCTTCCTCTTTCTTTCTCCCTCCTTCCTTCCTCTCTTTTACCTTTTGATACGCGATTCAAACTTGCATGTACGCCAAATGTTATTCCCGATGGAACTGTTGTTTATGCATATAAATAATATTTATGTTATTGCACACGATGTTATTCCGTCGGTCTCTTCCTCCATTCTCGTTTTATTTCCCCGATATCTTGCAGCTATTTGTTTTATTACGATTGGATTATACTCCTCTTTTTAATTTCTTTTTTCGTCACGTGGCTTCGCGCGCGCGTCGCAAACGCGGGGATCTGTATCAATGAGAACACATTAAAACGCGCGCGCGCGCGAGTGAAAATCCCACGACGCGTGATCGACAACACGGACACGCGATTCCGTCGGAAACGGCGTTAGATGAAATTAAGCGTGAGCGATCGCCGCGTATGGAAATTACGTCGGCAGTTTGAGTTTCCAAGTCGGCGTGATTCATGTCCACATATGTCGACGGACTCGCGCGTCTCAACGACGTGCGGAGATACGAGTAACACAAAATATCGGCCCCCGCCCCCTGACTTTTCGGGGTTTAAAAGCAGTTTTATCCCTGCAAAATCCATTCCCCGCCGTTCGGTGGGTAATGCTCAGGCGCCGTAGTTCAACGTCGTTAAACTTTTTCATCTGCTTTTCAAACTCAAAGCCGGCCGAAAGTTTTTCTTCCGCTTGTGGGGCTCGAATGGTGCCACTACATAAATGCATTCTACCCTTCCGCCGCCCTTATTCCACCTGCTGGTTTTCCCCACCGTCTGGCCCTCCACTCCTTCTTACTCCTGCTACTGGCCCTGCTTCGTGGAGGCACCCCTTTGCCCCTCACACATTTCTCTTTCTCTATCTCGGGGAGAGGTAAGTTTTCCTTGCTGGCTGGGAAAATACTTCGCCTCCGCTTTGCTGCGGGTCATTACACCTATAGATTTCACTCTCTTCCGAATGCGCCGCCACCTCGAATTGTTAATCAAAACTTCTTTCCGCGCTCTCTCACACGCTCCCGCCTCACCACGGCTCTCTTCGACCCCCGCTGTGGCCTCTTTTCATCCAGCGGAACATTATCGAGGAGAATCGAAACGTTAATGCCGTTTCGCGATTTGCGAGATACATCGGCCGGAGGCAAGAGTGTTCTCTAGCTTTCCTTTGTATCCCTGTGGTACCGTCTCGCGCTCGCGGAGAATTTTCCGCAGCACGAACGATACTGCAGAGAGAGAGAGAGAGAGAGAGAGAGAGAGAGAGAGAGAAACGGGGAGACGCCGGCAATTGGGACGTGAACGTCTCGGCTCTGATAATTAAACGAACGTACAAAGTTTCGTGTCTTCGCGGCGGTCGGACTCTTTACGATTATGAGCTTCGTATTCGAGATTAGTTACGTGATCGCGCATAATTCTCTAGTTTCACTTTATATACCGTATTCTGTCGACAAGTAACGAGTGGTTGGCGTGTTCACTCACGATGATAGTGCCGTATTCTTGCTCCATTTCGTTTTTAACCAGGCAAGACCTGTTCCACGACGCCCGTTTTCCAGGAGATGCCGGTTCTACTTCCGGAAATAGAAGGTACGATTCAAAGGAAGGAATGCACACGCTGGAATTTCAGCAGGAGCAAATACGTTATTCGTGTATATATAAATATATATATATATATATGTGTGTGTGTGTGTGTGTGTCGATCCGCGAGAAACGGATAACGACGCGAGAATAAAGCGTTTGGAGCGCGATTTAAATGGACGCAAGGAGGGCCACCGCGTTAGGTCGCCGAGCACGAGAGGTAACATGCACTCGCGCGAGAAACCCTAATGCTAGTTTTTCTGGTTGACAGAGCATGAAGCACGGTGGAGCGTAAAGGCGTGCCGGAAACGCGTCAGATATTGGCCAAATACATTTTCAAATATTACATTATACTCGGTCCGGCTGATCGATGAATCGGGAACGCGCGCACGAGTTTACCGTTTTCAATTTTCCTTGGCGATACATGCCGTCTCGCAATACGCGACACGATCGTCCAATAATTGCGTCCGCATTCTCACTGTAATCGAAGTAATTTGGGCAAGAGAGATAAGAGAAAAGAAAAAAAGAAAAGTAAAGAAAATGTGAGGTACAGCTTTTTCAGTCTGGTATTGCATGAACAACGATGTGAAACCTCAGATAAAGGCCACGCGTAAAATGGTAAGTCATATTTTAATGAAGTAATATCTTGCGAGAATATGGATATTACTACGTGGATGTAGACCGATGCTCGGTTTGCGGGTTGCTAAGTATGTATGCGCAATATATCCCCGTCGCATCAGCGTCCAGGTTTTCCCCACGTAAAATGTGCAGTTTCAACGGAAGCAGCTTTCATCGTAGATTAAAACTAATTCCATAATTTTAACGAAAACAAAGAAAGCATGAAACATCTTTTATCTCACTCATATTTATTAAGCTTTTACAATTAAACTAGAATTAGAAAGTTCATACATACCGCGCGTCATTGTGTTTTATACTTGTTTAACTTATATTGTTCCTTTCTCTTGCCCTTGAGCGTGTGCATATGCGCGCGTGCTAGGGAAATATATATATTAATTCTATAACTGTAAAAAAATAAGATACAAAGAGAGAGAGAGAGAGAGAGAGAGAGAGAGAAAGAGTTACACGTGACTCCACTTATCGATACTCGGATTTTTTCAAATTGCAGGCGACAAGTACGAGTCGTCTTTCTCGGACAACACATACAAGATGCACATGAAACTTATGATACGTTCGGTGGCGATGTCCGATTACGGCAGCTATAAATGCATATCTAAAAATTCTCTAGGCGAGACGGACGGCAGCATAAAGCTTTATCGTAAGTACGACTCCATAACTGAGTTAGTTTTATTTTACATGTCAAAACAAACGTCCGTATAATAACTCGCGGAAAACGTGTTCATATTCCTGTACGTTAGCGCATAACAATTTTGTGATTTGCATAGATTTGCAAATTAGCGCGAATGGTTCTGCTTGTTTTAATCCACATTAAACTCGGTTCAATTCGTATGGCGTATAAATTAACATTCTCAAACGTATTTTACGCGATTATATAAATCAACCGGTTAGGGATCGATAATGCTTATTCCCCGCCCCGTCAAATATTATCGTTGATTGTACATTTTAATCGCGCGTCTCCCTGCGTTGCAATTATATTCGTTTTTTTTTTTTCTTATTGCCTGTTTCCTCATCGAATACCATCGTCAGTCTCTACGTACGTCTCACAATGTCCCGCACTGAAAATTTTTTGGGATCTTGTGTGATTCCTCAAAATAATACTATGTTTGGAATAAAAATGGGGCTCCCAATTGGAAACAACCAGTTTTGAGATAATTTTGGGTAATCTAATTGGAATTTATACTGTATCTAAAAAAATCTTACAAGTAAACCTACCCAAAAAGTACACTCTGATTTCTTTCTAATTTGGCACAAATTTGGCAAAAAGTACAAAAAATATTTAGGTAATATTTTTTTATTTTGACCCACTTTGAGTTTCACGATCAGTTTATAATTTTTTAAATGTTCTCACTTCTACAACAAGTGTAACATGCATAAGAAATAAAATTGAATACAAAATATAGTTAAATATAATAATTTTAACAAAATCGGGATAGCTGAGACATGAACCATTCTAAATTTCTTTAGCCGAGATTCCAATCCAAATATTTTAAATCTGTGCTAAATTAATATTTTAAATCTGTTGCTAAAAAATGGTTCGAATCTCGGCCAAACCGAGAAATTATTTGTATAAATAATTTTTTTCAATTTTTTTTTGTTTTGTTTAAACGTTTTGTTTAAACATTTTATTATTTATACAAATAATTTTACATATTTGACTTCATATTCATAATCAGCAAACCAAAAACGCCTATGTCTTGTATTCAATTTTATTTCTTATGCATTTTTGTTGCACTTCTTGATGATAGAAGTGAGAACATTAAAAAACTATAAACTGCCCTTGAAATTCAAAGTGGGCCAAAATGAAAAAAATAATATTTTATACTTCTACATTTGTGCCAAGTTAGAAAAAAATCGGAGTGTAACTTTTGGGTAGGTACTTATTAAAAAATTTCTGTTGTCACTTCCTACTTGTAAGACATCGACGATATTGTCAAACTATCAAACCGTCAAGTCGGATCGCGTGACGCGCGTGAACGCGATCGAAGGGCGATCAGGTGAAGTTACGATTGTAATCTCATATTAACGCGATATGATTCATCGCAGGCGTATATCTCACGGCCGTTGAGCCGATATCGATTCGCACCCGGTTTTCGCACATTTGTCAAGCGGCCCGTTATCGCGGCGCGGTCGTCGCACTTTCTTTCTGCCTCTGTTCGTCGAGCGCGCGACTTCGGCCGCGCGTTATCAGAAATCGTTAGTCGTGCGATGAAGAACCGTATTCAGCCGACGGATGAGAAATTAAGCATCCGATGGCAGCAAACAACCTCCTCTCCCTCAGCGTTCCTTCTACTCCGGACGGGTGACGCGATAAAGCGAGAGCTTCTTTCGATAGACGACGAGATAGACGACGGTAAGCTGCTTCTAGAAAAGTGACGACGGTAGCGAACCAATGCCAATCGCGATTTGCTGATAACTGCAATCTTTCTCGAAATGATGGAAACGAGATTTCCGCAAGAAAGAAAAATTTTTTAATATTTTCTTCGTGTCTTGCATAGTTCTATTAAATCTTTTCAAAGTACACGAGAATGACAAATAACGCACCGATTCATACATTAATCTGTTTGAAAGTATAAATCAGAGGAAACTGAATAGTTTCCTCACAAGTAGCACATGACAAATTAATTTTCGTGGTTGTAACGAAATTGTTTCATTCGATCGGGCGAGATAATCGATCCGATATTAACTAAGACGCGTCGGAGGGAGCTTCTCCATATGGCAACGATAGTTTACGCTCGATGAGAGACAAGAGTTGAGAAATCATTGTTCCGCAACGATAGACATTTCGCCGGTATTTTCCTCAAACTTTTCATTGATCCAGTATCAAAGATGGATTATTATCCTCACGATAAATAGTGCCGGGAAAATCAGCTGTGTCTATCTTTCTGACTGTGTGTCGGTCTGTCTCCCTGGCAAATCGTATTTCCCGGAAAGCGGTTCGATCGGTGAATCACCGATAACCGCGAGTGTCGATCTGCCTGTCCCCTCCTATGCGACCTGCCGCTCAACCCTTCCTTCCTTCGCCTTTTGCGCAAAAAGAAGCTCCCTCTATCTATCGATCTGTAATTGTAGGTTTTCGCCTTGGCGCGCCAGCAGATTGGAGCCGTCAACCGGCTTCGTGCTTTACCGCGACCGCGTCGAATCGGCGGATTACCGCTAAGCCGCTTAAATAAGCGTTCGATTGTGTCGACGATTTAATGCGCATTAGCATTTTAAACCGGCCTTTCAATCCGTGCCGAAAGTTTGCCACAATAGTCGTCGGTTTTCGCCAATTCGAGTATTACTAGCCTTAATTGCTTAAATTTATTTCGAACGGCACACGAACGCGCGGATGTTTTCCTGTCGATGCCGACTTCGTTTAGTTTTATACATCGTCGCGCTTCTGAGAATGAAAAAAAAAATAGCACGTTGCAAACCGCCGTGTTTATCGCCTGGCGATTATTTAAGCGAGTTTTTCGTTATTTATTAACGTTCATTGTACTGCGTGAATCGCTGTTGAAACAACGGCGCGAAATTCGTTTACGATTGCCGGTCTTTTCCATCGTAGTTTACGTTGTTAAAACGTGATAACGTAACCGTGCCAAAATATTATCCCGGACAATTCTATCCTGTTTTACTGCAAAATAAATCGTGTGCGCCCAGAAAGCGACATACACGTATTTATACGTCCACGAAATTTTACATCGCACACTAGGATCAGATTTTGAAAACCAAATTGCCAAATTAGATTGATCTTTTATTAATTGTTTCTGTTGAGATGTTTTTAAATTTCTAAGGATTCCTTGTATTGCCTTCTTTTCTTTAACCTCAATGTACAGATTTACAAATCTGTCCTAGCACACGTTGAGTAAATGTTTTGGTATTGATGTTGGCATCGTTGTAAGGGAAGCTTATCAGCTTCGCTCATTTGTATTTCCCAGGCAAGTATTTGTTGGTTTTGCCTAGTATTGAGTGATTCATTGAACAAAACTGATTACAACAGTCACGTCACTGTCTTCACTACTACTAATAAATCCAGTAATTAACTACAAAATTCAACTTACACCTCGAGCTTATATCAACGGACCCGATGTTGGCAACAATGGCATTCTAGACAAATCAACGGCATGTTCCTCGTGACAACGAGTCAATGAGGAATAAATGAGAGTCGCACACTGACTATTGAGCCGAGCTGACGTGAGACAAATCGAAGCATGAGATTGCAAGATTGCGACTAATATAGTGCGAGAACATTTGTAAATAATAGCTTATTAAACGTTTCATTTATCTAAACGTGTTTTCCACTTATTATCGCGAATAAGCAATACTATATATAATACTGTTTTAAAAAAATATGCAAGAGAGAAATATTTATTTACATTTTCAGTTTTTTATTAAATGGCAATTAAAAGTATAAAATGAACCGTAATAAATTTGAACAATTTTATAGAAAAGTAATTTAAACTGCTCGGTTTTGCCAAGGTTTTTTTATATGTAGAAGATCTAAATATAAATTATCATAAAGTGTCAAGAGGATGAAATCAGTGGGAAAATATTGGAAAGTGTTCAGCTTTCAAAGAAGTCTATATTTTCTGCAAGGTTCTAAAAAATAACAATGCAAAATGTGGCTCAGATCACTCAAAATGTTTAAAAGTTAATATATAAACAGACATTCTATATGTAAATTACAATCCCGTCATTTTGATTATTTTAGTAGTTTTGGTGTTAATTCCAATTAAATTCACGTAGATTAAAAAAAATATTAATATGCTATAAATTTTGGCAGATATACCAACGCCTACCACGGAACCGACGACGACAAGCACGATGTCCATCCCTACTACTGTGGATTTAGGTAAATGTTTACTAAAATCTAATATCGTGTGTGCTAATAACTGCTTTGTTATTATATTCCAAACTGAGAGAAAAAATGATGATCTAAATAAAATTATAATTGTTTTTGGCTCCAACTACATTTTTTGATTGTTCTAACACCAAAAAAGATAGTAGTAACATACATATAAGTTACATATTGTCACTAATATTATATTAGAAATAAATTTAAAAAATAGTTTTCTTGACCACATAATCTATAGCAATTATTTTTTTATGTAATTATAGTTATAAATACCAAACACTTTTTTCAAAATAGTGTTCATTGTTAGTTTATTTTTAAACGTTTGTCTACGCATCTGTCAACATCTGTCTGTTGCCCGACTATGCAAACAGCTAACAAACAAACTGTTATTTTCAGTGGAGAACATCCAATGGTCGCGACAAAAGCCCGTGCCCAGTTTAGAACCGAGCTCTAATGAAATAACGGACGCATCTTTGTCGACTGTCATCAGAAGTGAAGGTACGCGCGCTCGCCTGGTTTCCATTATGTTCTTCCGAGCTTTCTTTTTGCGCTGTCGCAGACTCAGATCTTCGCATTAAACAAGATTAAAGCCTCATTGAGAATATAGACAGGCGTTTTAAATAGAAACGTACAACGTACGCGCAAAGTCGCCATTTAATTTTATTTTTAAACTATATTGAGATTGCTGAATAAAAGAGTAATATCCTGTGCACGTTTCCGCAATATAGCATTATATTTCTCTATAACACGTAATAAAATATTGCTCATTGTAAAGGAAGTCTCCACGGGATACAGAATCACGATTATGGCTATTTATAATAATTAAGAGAATTCTGTTGTTTACGCGCGGCACACATAAAACGTGAAGATCATCAAAATATCCTTTTTACAACATATAACAGGATAATATAAAACACCATTGGATCGATGATACAATAAGTAGGTTTCATTATCACGCGGATTTAATTATCAATTTCTCCTTTCATCCTATGCATTCGGGTTAAGTATATGCATAAAGTTCGCCCACCCTTTGGTCATTTTAACGCAGAGAACATTATAAGTGGTAATTCTAGTGCTGCCGAAATTACCATTGCCCGCCGTGGTTACGATTACGTGCGTTCGCGACAGTGGTGGTGTGTTGTCGAAACAAGTCTGAATATTCAAAGCCTCTCGTGCCCTAGCGAACCCGAAACTTTCAGAGGAGACAAAAATCGGATTAGCCTACTCCTCGGCGAAGATGAGATGAGTTTGGCAACTGCACTGGATGGCTTCGAAAGATCTGTCCGTTTAAAGCGCAGATCTGTCTTTCTCTCTCTCTCTCTCTCTCTCTCTCTCTCTCCCTCCACTTCTCCACTTCACTCTCTTCGGTCAACGAATTTAAGCGTACATGTTTATCGGTACACTTGGAGCCGTGTACGCGGATCTCATTCGTAATTCAAGCGATAAGCTATTGACCTACAGAATCCAACGCGGCGGTGGAAGAGGTGGTGGAAGTGAAGGAACGCGGAAAACACGTCACAGTCTGCAAATACGCAGCGCCGCGACCCGAAATTCACCGGGATACGTCGCCTTAAATCATCGCCCTCGACGTAATGCGAGAACTTACACGCCGCTGGGCAGTAGTGGAACTTTCCAACGTGAAAGTTTCGCGGAAGGCGCGAAGTTTATTCCGCAAAACTTCCAGCAACGTGCCACGACGCCGCCCGCGGTACCCTCCGCGCTCTCCGCGGCTTCTTCCTTCTGCCGTTCTCCACGTCGACAAACGCGGAACTCTCGACGGGATTTTGATGAAATCCCACGCGGTTTATGAACTACCGAGCGAGCCCGCGCACGGCTCTCCCCAACTATGGCAAGTAATCTGCAGCCGCCGCGCACGGCGCGCCAGGACGCTTGCGCCGCTATTCGAACTTGTTTCGATTATTATGTAAACCACACCGAGTATAAGTCACGATATAATATAGGAGGCAGTCAATTGGACGGTATCTAGTTACAATCTTCCGAGTGAGCGGACAATGAGGGAACATTGTTGGCGAGAGATGACATGAAAGGGCACTAACGTCAGCGTCTTGCATAAATAATGTCGCCGGCGAAAGAATAAATAATATACGTCGAGAGGAAGATTGAAAAGAGCCGCGCCGTTTCGTGTCGCCCGAAGTAGAAAAACAATGGAACGTTCTGCGGCTTTTCGCTCTTGTCTCAGAGTTTTCGCGTTTCGCAGACGGTCTCCTCCGTTCCGTGACGTTCTCAGCGACGTATCAACAAATGAATCAAGAACAATGTTCGGAATTACTAGTTCTTTCCAGGCAACTTTCAAAATATATGTCTACTTTCTTTCTCTTATTCTGCCGTTTATTCGCAGAGCCTCGCGCAACTCGTATCAACAAGTCAGCCTCGCTAACTATCACTTAGCGTCAGGACCTTTAACTTCAATTAGACCTTCGTAATTCTCTCTACAATTTGTGCACAACTAATCCTCCTCCTCCATCTTGCCTTCAATTAGCTAGACGTGATAGTTAATAGCGACAATCGACGGCTGAGGGACAAAGTGGTAGAATTTTAGAATTTCTATGAAAAAAAAAAGAGCGTCAGTGACTAAAGGGATGTCAATAATTAGATGTTTTATGTATCATCTATTTCACGATTTTTAGAGACGCGACTTCGCAGCAGACCGAACCACGAAGAGCCGAGTCACGAGGCCGAGAACGTCATCAACAACCTCGACAAGCACAAGAACGTCGACGGTAACATCGGACCGCGTAGGATTGATAACACGCCGCAGTCGATGTCCTCGAAGAGCAGCACGTGGCATTGCGTGACTCGATCAAGCGCGGTGATCTGCATAATAGTGCTCTCCGCCTTGTCGTAGTCGTCACGACGCGGGAACGATACAGATCGCTCGAGGTCTATCCCGTTCCAAGATAAATCTCTCCTCTCTCATCCGTGTAAGGGATCAATTAATCGACGAGTTAAGGGTGAATAGCGCACTCACCGAAAGGATCCATCGCTGCATACGACAGCATACGCCGAATGTCTTTATGAGAGAAAAAATATTATACTATTATCATACTATAACCGAACCCACGCGCCTCCTCGTTGAATAACTGAGACACTGTCTCTCTACTGAGAAATTTGCACCACAACGGATTCCGTTTGCGTCAAGTCGTATAACGACTTGTCCAGGTTTCACCTTTGACTGAAAATACTGTAGTAAAAATTACAACAAAGTTTTGTAATCTTGGATCATACAGAGATTATAATCCAAATGACTACATATTTGTATAAAAATGTTATGCAAGTTTAACTTTTTACTTCAAAATTATTCTAATTACTTAATTTTTTTCTTAAATATATTCGGCACATCTGTTTCTACATGGAGAGAATTGTAATAAGAATTACTATAATATTTTGTAATTGAGGAATAGATCGATATTCTGCAATAATTCGTTATTCTTTAATTTCATATATGCTACTTACATTCTAAGAATTAAAATCTGCTATTAAAACACTTGCTATGTTTCTAGTGAAATCTGCTATGTTTATAGCGAAATTTACTATGTTTCATAGCAAGATAACTTACTGACAGTCCATTCTTGAATTGTTAAAAACATAGTAAATTTTAAAGTTTTAAAAAATTTCTATGAAAAAGAAAACACTATATTTTCTTCGTGTACAGTAATTTATATGACAATATTATTATGATGCAACTCTTTACTACGATATTCTCTCCATGTAGGAAGGTGCATTCACGTCGACAAAAGAAAGAAAAACTGCCTGTAGACAAAATTGCGGGCGAGAAATCGCTCCCATTCTGAAATGAACGTATCTCTTTATTTCCAACAAATTGTTACGTAAAAGTCATCAACGTATGATTTCAAACAAAATCTCTTCGTGTCGTTATCGATATTTGTTGACATTATTATATTTACAACGTGTGTGCCGGATTGTTTGTCGCGATTCGGAAATAAATAAAATAATTTACGCGATAATGCATACGATACCTGCCGCAGCAATAGGATTAATGGATTCGCGTTTGTCGGCTTCGTTTCGCGCGCACGTGAGCCAAACCCACGCGCACCCCAAGTTTGTTTGTTTTTTTCACTTGATCGGAAATATATCCGCTGCTTCGTAAGAGCGATCGATAATCGTCCCGGGTTGCCGGCTAGTCAGCGGAGTTTCATTTAAGTCTAGCTGTCGGACGTTTCTCGGAAATGACCCGGAGTGACGACGATTTTTCTTATCTGATTCCATCGTCATCGCCAAATTCTCTCTAATCTTTCTCTTGTCAAGGAAAAAGGGAGAAGGCTTTCGAATCGCGCTGATCGTTAACGAAACGAGATCTTCCAATTTCCTTCAAAGAACACAACTCGGATTTTCGCTTTCATGTCCGGACGACTCGCCGAAAAAGCTTCCGTGTTCGATTCGCAATTATATATCGCCGGGAGGATCGATCGCGATGCTGTAATGCTGTCGTTTTAGAAAACAGCCAGTTTTTTCCACTTCGTGTTTTGCTTATTTGCGCCTAGATGATTCTCAGTGCGGAGGATTAATCAATCTACCAAACTAACAAGGAACATTCGCGAAGTGTACGTTTCTAATTTCGATGAAACTTGGCAATTTATACAGTGGCCAAAAATAAGAGACTCATATTTTTTTTATCGGCAATGGCGCAGGTTTAAGAGGTGAAACTCAAAGTTTCATGCTATCTCTGTAACTATTGGAGATAGAAAAAAAGCTTTTAGACAAAAGTTATGTGTTTTTTTTATAAAAAATAAAATGGGCTAAAAAGTTTTTTTTCTATCTCCAATAGTTACAGAGAAAGCAAAAAGAGCATGAAAACTTTAAGAGGTAGTTTCACCTCTTAAACCTGAGCCATTGCCGATGGCTTAAAAAAAATATGGGTCTCTTATTTTTGGCCATTCTATAAATATGCCAAGTTTCATCGAAATCGGAGACACACACTTCGCGAATATTCCTTGTAAGTGTATAAATTAGTATATAAGTTTAGAAATTAAAGGAATGTAACGTGCGACACCGAAAGAACAAGTCGCGGATGGTGCATAAGATGCAACGAAACACACAGTCGGAACTTGTACATTTCCAGAATCAATAATTTGCATATACTTGTAAATAACACTACGATCGTACGGACTTTCGCGCGATATTGTCGCTGTACTAATTGTATCGATAAGGACGGTTTTGTACATACTAAGTCTCTTCGAGCGCGCATAGAATAAGAGTATGGGTAGTCGTCGACGTTTTTATATATGTGGATGTGAAACATTATCGTATCCCCGACACACCGTGAATGTTCGAAAGAAGAAACCGAATCCCCGATAAAAAGTATATCCGAGTCTCTTTCTCGCGCTGTCCCTGCGAAATTTCGACGAAAGCTGTTTTGAGTTTTCACGATTGGAAACGTAATGTTCCTACACACAACTGCATACGACATGACTAGTTGAGACTATTTTCCAATTGTGAAGATACACACGTCAATATAGTCGTGTAAGATAATTTACGTACAAAAGTCTCACATTATACACGATCGGAGATTAATATCTTGTATTCACACGCCGAAAATATTTGAAATATTTTTGCGATGTATAATTTATATCTTCATTATTGTACCGTATGTGAATAAAGGAGGTATTTAATGTATCGATTTGAAACCCGCGACTGGGAAATGCTCACGAGCGCACCCCTCCAACGCGCATGGCAAGTTTCACGCGAGAAAATGGCGCGACGCTCAAAACACACGCCGAGAAACGGTCCCATCTACACCGACGTGAGGTGGTCCGACATTGACCCACGTCCGCTCAATGAAACAATCGAATTTTGCAAATTAATTTAAGTGTTTAAAACACACATACACACGCACACACACTACATGTCAAACTGAACACGACACGATCTCGAGACGAACAGTGTATACTCTATGTCTCAACTCAGGAGCTCTCCCTAGAGAGAGTCCACGTGTAAATATTAATTACGAAGTATATTACGATCGTATGTTGTAAAGTGGATGGAATCCCTGTAAATAATTGCAGCCGGCTTTGTATCATGTTATAGAATGGTACACGATCTATTATGATGACGCGTGTGTGTGTAGCTCTACTTTCTATAGATAAAATCTAATGAAATGTACATATATTTGTTACACAATGTTATATATAAATTATCATTTATCGCGGTTATTTAGAATTTTTCACAGTCCCCTCGCTCGTTCAACTCTCGAGGCGTGCGTGATTTTTCCACATTTTGAGCCCGTAACCTCGAGGTTGAAGGTAGTCAAAGTTGGCGCAAGAGCTTCAAATCACACACACAGGATGTATCGTCTCTCGAGACATCCAGTGCTCGAGAAAATCAGTCATGCTTATTGTGAATGTCCACGTTACACGTCGTGTACCACTCGAATCCAAATTTCTGTTAGTTGTACTTACCGGTAGCGCCCGTCGATGCGAGAAAAATCTATTTCAGTGAGCTTACTACCGCTTCCTAGAGGCTAATATATTCGCACAGAACTTTAAAATGAGATTCCATAGACGAGGAAATTCCGAAAAGTATTGTAAAGAGAATTATGTTTCCAGTGCCGTAGTCAGTAGCGACAAAACATGTTGTAAACTGAATGGACGAATGCAAATGGGATGAATAAATATCGAATGTTTAACCCACTTTGTACAAACTCTATTTTCCGTACGTCTCTAGAAATTTTCTCTTTTGACGGAGTGACTTTCCTCTATCGCGGTTGAACAATTAATTGCGTGTGAGATCATGGCGCGGTGATTAATGATCTTGCATATTCATACCGCGTGAAATTAATTCCAATACCAATTCCCGCAATGGCGGGAACTTTCCAAGTATCCAGAATTAGCGAGGGATTGGCAGTTATATCTTTTGTAGCTGCGATGTCCGATTCAGTCGTGTCGGATAATGCGAAGCACTCCGCGGGAACGAATGCCGTACCGTCGACCGTACGGTTCTTTGATGTATGCGCGCAAACAGCATCCGCGTATTGTATCTCTCCTCGGAATAGATGAAATACGAGGCGGGTCCTTTATGTATCTATTGAAAGCCGCATGTGAGTGCCCCATTCTTCTATGTAAGCCCGCGATATATCCCGCCAATGTACGCGTCGCGGCTGACCTGGTAGACGCTGTTCGTTGCATTCGATTTACATTCAGGACAGTTGTCAAAAATGGGAACTCGCCAATCGCGTTTTACGCATTATATATAAGAGTGAGCTTATCTCGATCGTACCGCAGCGCTTTATTATGTTCAATAGGGGAGCACAGATCGTCACGGCAAGAATGGAGCGAATCATTTTGCTTTGATACTCTAAAGAGGGGAATTACCGATTATGGAATTACGATTAAAGGAAGATTATGATTGAAGCGTGGCCCGTAGTGAAAGCATTATTATTGTCGGCGATTTTCCTTTTCTTCGAGAAAGACGTTCGTTCGCGAGCATTCTTACTTCATAATCGCGAAGAAAGCCCTGACGTTACACGCGAGAAACTCGACGATCATCGGCTCTGGAGAACTTTGCAGGAGCTAAAATGTACAGAGCGTAATTAAGTAGTAAATTTGTATTTCATGTATACACGAATATCTTTCTCCGATGTCGATAGTGCTTACAGGACTAGATCGCGTGCGAGAAGCACGGGCAGTGGCGCAATCAGATCGACTCCAATGATCGCGAGATAATTGCTATGTCGCGCTATATACGTAATTAAACATCATTAATCTACGCTTATCTATTATTTAACGACAGATCTGCCGATCTGTGTTAGCGTTTTATCGCGGAGCCATTTATTATTATTTACAGCCACGTTGTCGAATCTTTGCTCAGACAAGGGAGGAATGCGCGCCTCTCATTGTCACCGACATTCGTCTCGACATTTTCGACTGGAAATCATAGGATAAATTTCTAGTCAGGTTGATTTCGTTGCGAATGCCGATGGCGGCTCATTTTTCACTTTATAGCAAAAGTTTACGAAACATCACGAGATACGAGACGAGACGCTCCAAGTACTCCCATATTTTATTACGTTATGCGTGAGACACGTATTAGTTACGCCACCAATCAGCACAGACAATGCATTCTACCTGTACACTACGACATTTTTGCTTTTAATATTTATACTTCGTGTAGAACTATACGGTATGTATAGATATATTTACTTGCCGCATGGCACACACGCCACACAGTACTTCATTAATCGCCACTACGACACGCTTCCCCCCGTTTTATCCCTACGACTTGCAATTATTCACCTTTATTACAAACTCCGGACCTCGTCACTTGCCGCGACATATTACACGCGTTACGTCTAAGAGTACGATTAGACGTTGCATACGATTTGAAGTGCTTAAAGGAAAGCCATGATTGTTCTAGATGCTTCAAAACATTTGCAGCGTCTAATGGATCGCATCCGAAATGTGTTCGATATGTTATCTACAATGCCGATGATACAAAAGTAGGTTGCTCTGAAATATCTTCAATATTGTTTAATTGTCGCAGTCGCTAAGTCACTCGTAAACAATTCGCGATCGTAAACACCGTACGGGTGTAGATAGCGTGGAATCGATGATGTGGAAAGACGCTACGATGCATACAATATTTCATACGACAAGTAGGGCGTGAAAGTTCGCAAGGACACGCAATTTACTCATGCGAGCGACGACGTGTTCGAGAGATCAAGGCTCTCTCTTTCTCTCATTTTGTTCATTGATCGACGAGAGAGATTCATTTCGTTCTACTATCTGTCGACCCAATCTTACACAGTTGGTGATTCAATTGACTTTGAGTTATCTCAAATCACCCTGCAGAGGCTAGTGAAACCTCACGAACTTGCGCACCCTAAATGATAATCGAGGCGTCAAATGTCATCCTTAATTACAATGCGCAGTGGTTAAACCGGTAATCGATATTGCTGATATTGACGTTAAATTAATTATTATCGGTGAAAATCGTGATATCGACACTTTTGATATTTTCATTACTTCGCATATTCCTCAAAAGAGCGCAAATATATTTTGATATTAAAAAATCTGTTTAATACACCTCTTGCAAAACGAATCATTAATTGACGTGTCTTCAAGGGTAAGTATTTTATATTAAAATGATCTTTGCAATTGTCCCTTCATAATGAAAGAACGATATGAATGAAATCGATATGTCTTTTTCGTATACGGAAATGTTACGTTAATACTCGAAATAGATAAGACATATACGATAATAAGAGAATAAATTCTTATGTCGATAATTTAATTCTTCATCCTTACGTGACAAGTACGATTCTCTCTCGCGTTGCACGCTTTTACCGGAATTTCTGGAGCACTTCTTTCACGTTTCCGATACTCGAATATTTTCTCTAACAATAAGAGAACTCGCTTTTCTTCGGTTCTACACACCTATTACGCTTCCACTTTGACCTATTTCGAAACTGAACCGCTTCTATATTGGGCATTCAATAATAAGCTCTCTATTTGCATACATATACACATAGGTATACAGATCATTGAACGAAAACACAAAACGCCATACGCAAACCCCGCGCCGTAGTTTGCGTATTGTACTACGACTCAGATTGTAATATGACCCAGTTTGTAGAATGCGTGCTCTGACAGCTTAGAACAGAAGTTCTGCAAATGTTTACATCAATTATAATTTGTCGTACAACATTAATAATGAACATTACGAAAATTAAGGTTAATTGTTAATTGCGACATATTAACGGAGAATGCATTAGTTGGTGTGAAAGTTAAACTATATAAATAACTCATACCCTCAAACACATTAAATTGTCCGTTATCGTCTCGTCAATTTTGCAAATGTTTTCGAGACGATCGGCTCATCTTGTTCTGCGAGAAAAAAAGCATTAATCGTCAACACGCGAATGCATAGTACTCGCAATTAATTGCACTTTCGAAATGAATTTTTTGGACATCACACTTGTCGTCTTTCTCTCGACGTCCGTGTGATCAATTGGTCTTTGTTCTTATTTTCATGTGTGAATGTGCGTCGCCGAGAATTTCTCTACGAAGGTGCAACTTTCGAGACTCGCTTCTATATTAATATATACAATACGCGTAGAGCATTAATAGAGGAATCTGTTGATCACGTGATACATCGACCACTGCTCGGAAACGTATGTGATTTAAGAACGCCGGGGGAGTCTCCTCAGTCTTGACTTAACGTTACCACATGTAGCCTAAATATAATTGTACTTATATGATACATACTATATACAGATTATGACATATGATTCTTAGTTTCGAAATACCTAGTTTCAGAAATATCAAACTTAAAATAAAGCTTGCACGCTTTAGCGCGCGAATTGTTGAGTTCAAATGAATATTACAAAACATGTAATCCCTGCATTTTAGATCTTGGAATAAATATGAAAATCCAAACCTAGATATATAAAAGATAATTAATCTTTTTACAGAATTCATAAATAGTGAATTATTTAAGCACGATTTTATGCAAAAATAGGATAATTCATTAATTTGATATTTTTGCCTGGTGAATTTGGGCAGAAATCCGAGGAGAAATATGACATGTCATCTTCACGCATATCTGCCTATATATATAATACATACGCTAGTATTATACTAATACTATACATAGTGTACTATACAGAGAGTTATTGTGGGATAGATTCGGGCTAACGCGCGGGCGCAACTGTTCTTTTCCGTACAAATTCTAATGAACGATTCAAGATGTCCGCCGAGGTTTTTGGTGCGAAACTTAAAGCGATCACTATTAATATAATAATCTACCTCGGATATATTCTATAAGATTAATGTTACCTACTCCTGTACACACGGGAACTACCTCCTCGAGTCAATAGTCAAATTCACGGAGAGCACTTTGCAAACGACGCCGACCGATGTCATCGCGTATCAAGAAAGTCGAAAGAGAACATGACTGTTCGCCTATAAAGATCGAGGTCGATCGGAATAAATCATCTATTATTAAAAATTCATCGTTATGAAAACCCGCATCGACAATGAGATCCATGTGTTCAATCTATAAAAATAAGGCATTTCTTGGATTTATGCGATATTTATACGATGTCAGAAGAAATTGACCACCTCTCTCTTTCTCTCTCTCTCTCTTTTTTCTTCAAACAATTTACAAAACGTTAACGTTGCTTATTCTAAAAAGACGCAACGAAAATTTGTGTATATTTTCATTCGTTCGAAACTGATTCAATAAATGTGTATTAAATCAAATCGAGCTTTTTAAGTATCTCTCCATTTTTCTCTCTCTTATTCATGTCACACAAATTTTTTAACACATTCTAATATTATTTTCCTAATTTGTCAAAAAAGATCAATAGGATGAGCAGAAATACGGTATTGCGACTGGTCCGTCTCCCTCTCTTTCTCTCTCCCTTTCTTGCTCTCTCAAGCGATTCATCCTTCGCTTGAGTTAGACAGCTCTGCTCTGACCTAGAGTTCCCCTAATAAGCACCTAGACAGTAACTGGTTTCGTCTGCAATTGGTGCAGCCACATCGATGCATCGCTGCGTGTCGCTCGACCGTCGTTTCGCAATGGTGATTTAACGCGGGGATACGTCACCTGTCCGGGTAGCCAATTAAAAATGACGCGAAATACGGCGGAAACTGTCCGTTCTTCGTTGGTCTGCTTCTTCATAAAAGACCGTCGCTTCAGAATAGAGCTTTCCGTTTATTGCTCGTTGTCGAGAGATCAATCGAACTGTGCAAGTGAGACATGCGCGCATTTATCGCGATCGTAGTGCAACTCTTCACACATACGTTTATCATTTCATGAGAAATTGATTAGATAATTAAATTGTACACAAAGCACCGTTCGCAAATCTAAATGGACAGAATCAACGATGATTGATAAAAATAAGCGTCTTTTTAAATAAACGATTTACGTTAAAACGGGTTAATTTGATTTGTATATTTTTAACTTTCCGAGAACTGACCTCGATTTTTCTTCTTCTCTTTATTTTGTTCTCGAACGTAACACTCCAAGTTTACAGATATTTCAGTTATCTCCACGACGTTGCTGACGCAACCCTTAAAATAAATCAGAGCAGTCGTTCCCCGACGTTGTAACACGATTCCGGCTACCCATGGGGTAGATCCGCGTGCCTAACTCCGACTCCAGCACACTCACCGTTCGAATTGACCGCCCCTTCGAGTCGTAATCCCGCCTTAGCGAACTCTGATGACGACGACAAGGACGACGACCCTGAGTCGCAATCGGTCGGCCCGCTCCTAATCGCTAACGCTACTTATACAGTATTATTATCTTATCGTATAGTTTAAGTGGTCAGCGCGGTAGTCCTCGACGATATTCATCCTCGACTGAAGTCCCTGAGCGATGGATTTACAAGTGGATGTACAAAGTCTCGATGGTTCGATGGTCGAAGTACGCGCGCGGTGTGCACGCGCGGCACCGGTTCGTGGACAGATCTCAGGCCGGATGCAGCGTTCGCATCTGCGGATGGTGGTGGAGGCACAGGCACAGCGCGACGAGGATCACCAAGAGCAACGAGCTGCCGTTGCTGTTGGCGCTGGACTCGTCGTAGTCCGTCACGTCGCCGCCGTGCTCTTTACGGCCGCGTAGTTTCAGGTCTAAGGAAGTAGATTGCGAGACTGTTAAAATAATCGGACGACAGGTATTGCGATAACACCAATATCGAAAGAAAGAGAAGCAAGCCAGCATCGGGACTCTGTGTGCGAAAAGAAAAGAAAAGAGTGCGCAGCACTCCAACTACTGTGCTAAAGAATCACTTAAGAAATTATAATCTCATCTTTAATAGAATTCTCTTAAATATGATCTCCAGAGGATTCTTCTGAACCAAAAGGAAAATATTCTTAGCAAAATATTTTTTTAAATTAGAAGGCATTCAAATAACTATATTCCTTTTAATTTAAAAGATAAAAAGCCAGAATATCCAGTACAAAAAAATTTTTATAAAATTTTATATGAAAAAATTATAATATTCTCTTTGTGCAGACTTCCAATTAATAATTCAATAAAAGAAAAGTATTCTCTCAATAATAGTTTCCGCTTGGAATATGAGACTGCAGGAAGTAGCTCTTGGCAAATAGAGTTCTTTATTTTTTGGGCGTTGGAATATTTTTCTTTTGGTTTTAGAAGAATTCACTTGAAATCAATATATAAGAAGATTTAACCAAGGATAAAATTATACTTTTTAGGTGATCAAAGTCCCAAGTGGGGAAACCTAAGGAAATTTGCAGCAGCGAATAGAAACTGAGAAAAAAAATCGTGCGTACAATTATATCTAGCGACATGAAATTCTGGTGTTTAATGTGTACCTTGTTCCTTGAGCATGTCGCGATTTCCCTCCAGAATATCGTTCCCTGAATTATGCCTTAGCTTGCCTGCAAACAGAGCGATATTGAACGATACCGTCTCGTGTGCCTCTCCTGGAGCGCGGAGTTGATACTTTAATATTATCGATATTATCCGAATAAACATTCATGAGAATATCTGATACTTCTAACAAGAGAAAACTCCGCGCATCCTTCATTCGATGGCGGCAACTTTTTGCGCAAAACGTCAACATTATTAATCGGAGACCGCCTGATAATCTTACATTGATGGAAAATCGTTACGTGGAGACTTCTTTTTTCCTTTCTCGTTATGTAAACGCACGAGTATAAATCCAGCAGCGGTTTCCTCTGGATTTGCAAACGAATAATTGTTCGCGATCGAGTCTTATTATTTCAATTGCTTTTTCATTCCATCTTCTTTGATTAATTGCCCGCCCTGAAAGTAATTTGTTTCGCGACGTGGTATTCGGTTTCGGCTGGTACATCACGAGGCTACTAATGACGACGATTGTTAAATCAATTGTCCGGAAAGTAGCGACGATAGTAGACACGAAGAGAGAAAACGATTTGCAAGACAGAAAAGAGCTCGCGTCGCCGAATAAATACATATTGGGTTCGCGGCTGAAATGCTGGCGACAAAATTTTTACAATGTAACGATGACGCTCGCTATTCTTTTTCGCGATGCGTTTCAATTTAGCAAGAATAATTATTCGAGGGGGTCGAAACAATCGACACTCCTCGATCCGCTCGTGAATTCCGTGCGAATTTTAGACGTCGCGATTTTGTACGGCAAACTGAGGGTAGCTTGAGGGTTTATAAATAAAAATTATGCTCCAGTTTATTTTGCTTGGCAAAGATGCGGCGAATTTTTTGTCGTTTGCGTTGGCAAGTTTAGTCTTAAGCAATGATAAAAAGAGGGAATGGCAACCGGTGAGGAAAGGTGAATGTTCTCTGTCGCTATTGGAAAAGCGATCTAACGTTTTGCCCACGGTGAGAGCCGTGAGAGTTCGTTTGTCTCCGTGAAAAATGCAGTCTCGACCGCGTGTTTTCCCAAGTAATGAGGAGAACGAATGAGAGAGAGCAGCAGCGTACTCGTACTCGATAAGGGGAAGGGAGTAAGCCAAGAGCAGCTTGCGAAAGGGCTTAAGGTATGATCAATGTGTTTGCCCTCACGTTGTTAAGTTTCCGTACGAAATTCTGGAGGCACCGTCACGCTTTTGCATATACTGGAGAATTGACCCGCGCTTGATCCGCGCCTCCGCTTTTCACCGGGAGAAAATTAACGACTACCAGGAGGTGAGCGCGCAAAGGATCGAACCAACCATACCGGAAATGAGCGAGAAGGGGAAGCAAGAACATGCTTCGTTCCAACTTGCTTCGTCTTCAAGATACGATATATGTGAAAAAAAGGAATATCTAATAGACCGGCTTTTTTTCATTTCTGTGTTTCCCGTGTCGTACATTTTTCGCGTGTTTCATTCCGAGGTTTCCAATTCCTACGCGCCGTGTAAATTCGATCCTTTGGAGCACATGCACACCGTCACGTGTGGTGTAGTGGAAGGAGGTTCGATAAAATTGACCCAGGACGTCGAGACCGGTCTCTATAAATCTCCCATCGCGATGCAACGTCGCCTCCCAATCTGTTGGCATCAAAATATTTTGCATATATCGATTTCCGGGCGCCGGGCGAACGGGAAGTTGGACTGAAGGCGGGTCAATAATAAATCCCGGATTTTTCATTACGATGGCGCAAAAGATACTTGGTGAAATATGAAAGTAAGCCGCGTTCATGAGCGGCTCGCGTTGACGTCGTGCCGATTATTTATCGCCGTTCTACCACTACCAAGGTGCACTGCCACCGCCTCCGACCCCTGCCGCCGATCCCGTCGATGTTTTTCGCGCCACTAATTATGATAACTCCTATTCGTCCTTCGCAATCTCTCGCGTATCTCTTTTGAATAAACGCGTCTCGACTCTGCAGCCCGGATCGGAATGCATTCATTCGCGACGATTCGCGCACAGATAATACTGCGCCAGGAGATGATTTACGAGAGGTGCGCGCTAACTACGCGTCCCAAATTAATTCGTGTTTATATTGCACTTATATGCCGTTATCTCGCGAGCCGCAGTACGGCGATTGCATAAAGACTCGCGACGAGACCGCGGCCGAGAGGAGAGTCCGCGTGGCCGTAAAAACATCGATTAGCCATAAAACGAAGGAAGGGCGAGATGTTTAAAGTTTTCCCCGTTGCGAAATGAACCATTAAAGTAGCGAAGCGAAGACTCTCGAGCGTCTTCGAGCTACATCACAGACGCCGGGAGTGTCTTAAAGCACGTGCTTCAAAGGATGAATTTTATATCGACGTTCTTCATCCCGACGCGATGCACGTAGATACACATAAGCGCGCAGCGCTTATATTACGTTACGCAGGCTATGTGTTGTAATTCGCTGAGAATTTTTTCGCATTTGATTTCGTACCGTGGCCGTAAATCTATGAAATTCGCGTTTAAAAAGTCTCAAAATGCATGACTGGTGATGTACAAAATGCGGGCGTAGGATGAGCTTACTGTCCTTTTACGCGACGTTTCAACGACGGATACATTTTACGATGGAAAGAAAGAAAGGAATAACCCAACGTAGATAACAAAATACTTTACGTGCGCTTAGTTAATACCCGGGCAAAGCACGGCGAAATACAGCGGAGCACGGCGCGCGGCGCACTGACATGTAATTTACCATCTCCTTTGAGGGTCCGATGTATTGTTCCACAAAGCTCTTCCCGTATTATTATCTCTTTGAATACATCAGCGTACTCGAAATACCGCGCCGAGAGAAGAGGGCGCGTTCGCGGTAAAACCGAATTGGTACTCTAAACGTCCACCCGCCATGCATTTTGTCCCCTTAATCTTCGTTTGCATATTAAAGACAAATCCGATAATACCGCATACGAAGAAATAACAACTGAGTCGAACACCTTATTACTAATTCTCTCTCTCTCTCTCTCTCCCCTCCCTCCCCTTTTTATCTGTCTTTTTGTCGCGTATATATACCTTATTTCACGCGCTATTATCTCACGGGCTATTTTATTCGTTCAAATATATTATCCAGACGAAGCGGCTCTTACAATCGCGACAGCACAGCCGGCTCATGAGGTTATTTTTCCCGATGTTTTAAAGGTAGATGGAATATTCGCTTTTTCGAAAGACCCACATAGAAATTTCTCGAGATTTTTGCCAAGAAATTAATTCCGATTGGAATACCCGCATTTGCTCTAAAATTGATTATTTCCCTACGATATTAATTAAGAACCCCATCCTTGCCCCAATATAGCTACATCGAAAAGGATTTATTTGAAAACTTATAATATCCTCTTCCTCGCTTTCTCATTTGAAATCTTCTAATTTGAACCCATAATTATTTTGAGAAATCGGGCCGGATCTCAATTGAATCACAAGAAACTTTTTATTTGCGGAGAACTGTCCGAGTTATCTTGAGATATCACAGATATCGTGCAGCGTTATCTAAGGGAAAATATATTGCGTACGAGCCGCAAAACGATAACGCAAGAAAACACGCGAGGGGAAACCGAAAGGAAAAGGAAAAGGCCAAGTCCCTTTGCAGGCAGCATAGCACAGCACTGCCCTTTTTCTCAGCGATGAAAAGCAGGTTGGTGACGTTAGGTGCGCAAGCCGAAATGGTATTCACCCGGGTCTCTTTAAAAAGTCGTTTCTCTAGACGTCTATCTCGCTATCGCGACTGCACCGGGCGCGCGCTCGTGCTTAGTGCATTCTGCGTGAGGCTGCACCGAGAGCCTGCAACCGACTTTTGTGCGCTTTCCCGCGCGACGGCGGCCTGTCGTGCAAACGAGACGGTCGGTCCGCGAAACCCGACACGACGACGGCTTCTATTCATCCGCGATTTCACTCTGAAATAGTGCCCACCCTCTCTCTTCCACGCTCGACAACGACGACGACGACGACGACGACGACGACGACGACGACGACGATGACGACGACGATGATGGCAGTAGTGGCGGTGACGGTGGAGAAGCTCGAACTTAGTCGGATGGAAAACTTGAAATGCCTTAACAAGCACGGGAATGACACAGATTCGCGTGGACATGCGCTTCTGTCGCGTTCTAGCTGCAGGTAACACGCGCTTTTACGTTTCGTTAATGGAAATTATAACTCGGAAAATATCGCGACGATGTATAATGCAGGAATCCTCCGCCATTGTTGGAGATCGGAGGGTTAAGCGGGTTAAAGCAGTCGAATTATATTCTTGAGCCAATTTACCTTTCCCTGGCGTAATTATTTGCAGTACTTTTGCGACAATTTTCCGCGAGGAAAACGAAGGAGGACGAAATTCCTGAAACGCAATATTCTGGAAAGCCGCAAGAGAATATGATGTTCGTTAGCATTATCGAAGATGCAGGATCACGGAAAAAAAAATAACGACGGATTTGCGCGAGAGGGCAATGCGCGATTATTTCATGTTAAAATACGCACTTGTTCCTTTTGGCCGGGCTTGAATAGAGAGTGGTCGATGTGTGGATTCGATCGCACAAACTGGCTACTCGATCTAATTAATTTCCGACCCGTTCGTTCTCTCTCTCTCTCTCTCTCTCCCGTCCACGCCGCAAGTACGCTTCATCATTCAAAAAGTACCTCTCAACACAAAGCGAGCAGCAGGAGCGGGTGATTGATTTATATTTCGAGATTGAAAAGAAGCCGCTAATTAATTAACGGCTTAACATCTGAACAGCATAGTTTCGCGCACGATTTCGCAGAAATCGATAAAGCAATTTCCGAATTAACATTCGCGATCTTCCATAAACGAACGGAACGACCAATCTGCTCGACTTTGAAAAAAAAAACGAGCTCATCATGTTGTCGCGCGAGCTTCGACAACGCGTCTTCGATGCCAATTTCACAACATAACAGAACGGCGCGATCCCTCGCGCAAGAAGGTAAGATTATATATTCGACCCACCGCTTGTGAAGCGGAAAGCGTAACGTACCTTTGTAGTTGGTGCTGTCATTGGAATTGGAACTCGATATTGCTGAAACATAAATTACGTCGTTCAAGTATGATTCAAACGATGTAGCGCGGCGCCCTCGTGCGCGTCAAAGTGACGTCAAACGCCTTAAACACAAACTGAAGAATGCCGCGCGCGTCTCGAAGGGCGGCCCTTCTCTAAAGGTGGTTCGGCCGGGACGGCTGCAGTCGGGAAATAACGAGGCGAGCAGTAACGCGGATAGTCTTTTCAAGTCACACTCTAACTCACAGCTTTGTTTATGCATGTTCTAACTCACAAAGGTTCTAACTCCTTGTTATCTTTCACTTTACGAGTGCAAACAATTTCAACGCACTCGCGGCCGCGCGCGCAACACCTACTCTTCGCGCTCAGCAGTTTTCAGGACAGCGATTCGCAGTGCACGAGGCGCAACTACCACAGCATCTTTTCCTCCCCCGCGAAGGAACGCGACAGTTGAGTATACAGGAACTTTTGCGAGCTGCGATTTCGAATCGGCAGTCCCCTTGCAACCGACGGAATATTTTTGCGAAAGATTGTTTTATTCATAAGCGCGAACACTCTTAAGAATATAAGATCTGACGTATCCTACCCCTCCCCCTTTCTCTCTCCCTCCACTCCTCGTCGGAGTCCTAGGAAGTCTTTTCCCGGTCGGTATTTCATAAAAATTCCAACTGTTTTAACACAGCTGCTGCTTAATAAGCTGCAGCCAGCGCAACTCTGCGTTCCGCAGATGGGAATTGTACGCGGATATTTCGTCTGAGTTCGCGACGCGTCAAAGCAGCCGAACGTGATGACGAGTAATTTCATTAGGACTTGTTTCACGAAGATCTCCCCATCATTTTCGTCGATGCTGTTGCCGCGAAGACGCGTTTCTTCCCAGCGAAAATTTTCGTCAACGATAATCACGTTCATACTTACGATAAACCTTGATGCTGCCGTCAGTGTCACCCAGCGAATTTCTGGAGACACACTTGTACGAGCCGTAATCGGACGGACTGACGGAGCTTATCGTCAGTCTCATTTGTATCTTGTATGCGTTATCTACCAGCATCGGCTCATATTTTCCACCTGCAACGAATCCCAATCTCGTCAATGCACATGCACTCATCAATACGCATATACACACACACACACATATTGTGCACGATTGTACCTTTCGCTTCCGCGATTAAAAAATAAAGGATACATTCAACCGAATCAGGATGGTCACCGAATTATGCTGATCAAGTTACAGCGATATCTCGGAAAAATGATATGTAGACATTATATATCCGCGTATGCGGATTCTCTCTTTACCCCAATTTCAGAAAAATCCCGCTTAAATCAACCAGACGCGAGCGTGCGCGCACACGCCGAAATAAAACAAAAAACTCGCTTTTCCGTCATGTGCTGTCAGTCATGTCTGACCGGGTTCGCCCGTCGGGTTCGTTCCCTGATGTGATTTCGGCTGGGACTTTAAAATAGAAATACGAGCGGATCACGAATATTTTCATCGGGATATGCGACGACAATCGAGGGCTTTTAAATGACCGTCCGCTGCGTCTCGCGCATTCGTGGTATGTGGGTCAAGCGAAACGATACGAAAAATCTCATAGAGGAGAGATCTTCCGCCGGGAATCCACGACGCCGCCTTCTTCCTCCAACAACAAAAGGCACAGCCAGGCGAGGGACGAGCGGAATTTAACCGAAGATTTCTGTTTCTTAATTATATTCCCCCGGGAAAGCTGGTCGGGCGATTTAATAAGCGGTTGGCGTGATTTATCTGTACGCCGCCTCGTGTCTCGAGGGCTGCTTTCTTTTACCGCAATTGATTCCGCGTGTACAGAGGGTTATTGATTTACCGAGACGAGAGGGAGAATATCTAGGAGGAGAGGCAACTCCCGAAAACATTGAAGCAAAAATTGTACTGCCGCGGATTTTGGAACGCCAAATTATCGCGTAAATTTTGGTTACGTATTGTGATTGGCGGAATTGTGAGATATTTTTAATAACATCGCATCGCGTTCGGTCGTCTCTCCCGGGCTCGCCGGTCCATGCAGTCAATTCGATTATGGTTAGCGGTTACATGATATATGTGTAGAATAAAGTGCGTGGAAGTTCGCGTTTGTGATTAAGACTGGCAAACTAGTTGACACGTCCCCGGTGTTATGTTTTTCGTTACCGTAGCATGCAACTTTGGTAGCGTCGCGTTCTGCGTGTATACTTTCGTCGTCTCCGCGCGCACATATCTCCGTCGTGTTTCACCTGCGCATTCCGCTGTTCTGCGATCGCTATCATGTTATTGATGTTACCGACAGCGGACGTCGTCGTCCACACGTCGAGTGCCGTTTGCGTGTCGTGTGCCGCGTTCGGTGTCGCGTTTCGAACATCCGCGTTCTTGGTGAATTCCAAGTCAAGTTATCGCCCGGATGTTACGCAGAGGAGAATTCTACGAGTTCCGTAATTCGACACCGCGAGAGAGTCCTCGCGAGGATTCAACGATCGTATCCAGAAGCAGGTGAGCTAACTGTCGGAATCCGCACAGTATCGAACGTTATCGCCGCGCGGTAGGATCGACAAGTCTCCGCGCTCAGTCGAATACCAGACTCGCGCGTACTGTTAGGAGATCAAAGGCGTTCTCTATCGAGGAACTCACGCCGAACTATGGTTAGCAGCGTTACTTTGTGCGACTGTCTAGTGAGCTTCCACTACGTACGGGACGATGTAACGAAAGTAGACAGTAAAAACGTTGTTACAATTTTGCACTTTGTGTCCACCAGTTTTACTCGCCTATACTTCCCACTTTTCTCTCTCTCTCGCGCGTTCTACTGATTTCAGAAAGACCACACCATTCTACCTTAAACGAGGCTGAACAGCCGGTAAAAATCTTCTCCCTTGATTTCAAGAGAGACAAAGATTGTACCGTGCGGGCTCTTGCGAGTCTGGCGATCGCAATATATATCCCACGTAAAAGTTTAAATATTCGTATTTGGAGACCTAAACAATAAGGATGTCCAGAGGACACGTTTACTTCAGTTTTATTCTACTTGTAGCATTCGAGTGATGCATCTCACGCGGTTATTATCTGATATTTCTGCAAATATCCATTTTTCCATTATCTTCTTCATAATGTCACGCGCGATTCGTCAATTTGCAATCTTTACGGAAGCCCCGGAACGCGCGGTAACAGAGGAATATGGCAAATATCGACATTCGCGATCGCGCCGCGAAAGCGCATTATCCATTATCCGTTTCGGGTCCATTCCGAGTCGAATCCGTGCAGCAACGCGCGAGGGACTGTATCCCTTTTATTGTTCCGTTTTGCATTCGAACCAATCCCGCTTTTCGCGCGCAAGGCGCACCGCGGTCCGAAGATGCCGGCGTTGGGAATCTTACCGAGCCGAGAACCGGAAGCGCCCGCTGAATGGCATCGATCTAAACAGAAATCACGTTAACTTAGACCGCTCGCGTGTCGAATATCGAAATAGTCACGGCAGACACCGGCGACGGACCACCTTCCGAGCTGATTGAACTATTGTGACGTTACCTTTCGACAGCCACGGGAATTCGTAGACACGGCTGTCGATCTGAACGGCCGTTTCCGACCCGAAATGGAACGCCGTTTATTCCAACGTCCGTCCGATCGACGCCCAGCCAGCCCGATAAAACGCGCCATCTTAGACGTCTGGATTGATTATGCGGACAGTGTCTGCCTGAACACGGGGCCTCAAAATCGCTCGACGACTCCGCCGTCGCGACGTCACCGAGCGCGAAATCCCATATGATTATTCGCATTCGAGGACGCGTGCGAAACGGGCAATTTATTTCAAGTGTCGGCAAGCGGAAGCTCATTATCATGAGAAAGCGGGAGTCAAAATTTTGAATCTGCTATGTCTCGACAGTTCTAATGTCATCTTTCAAGTTCGACGGTATTTGAAGGTTTAACGTAGAATCTAAATTTCGATTCGAGAAGCTGCCTTCGACTAAAAGCAGAGTCGGCTTAAAGCGCAACGCGAGGGAAACATCGGTCGAGCGAAATATCATTTATACATCGAGTCGCTGCTCAATAAAATAAGGGATTGCTGGATTATACCGGCGGATCTATACCGGGGATTTACGGAAGCGCGGCGCAAGCTGCGCGCGATTTCAGTATATGTGGATTAATGTCGGACGTTGAGACTGGCGTTGTAAAGCTGGCAAGCACACTGAAAAACCTAAACAAACTTAAACTTAGCCCTACGTGTACAATGTTGAATCTATGAACCGAATGAATATTCTATCGCTCAACAATATTCGTAAATAGTTCGGGGAAATTAGAAAATAGCGCAACTTCGCATGCAGATTTTAGCTCGCTACTGTCTTATAACTAAGACTTTTCTAAATCTCTGAAAAAAATACTAATTTTCAAAAATATTGATTTTCAGCAAAGTTCTATGAATAAAATTTTATATCCCACAGATAAATTTCCAAGTATTTTTTCTCAGTGTACGAGAAAAATTGAACAATAAGCAGATTGACCAAAAACACTCGATTATCTCTCTTATGGTTCAAGAATATCGGATCGCGATTGGTCAATTTTCTTATTGCTCAAGCCTTGCTGTTTACGTTCTTTTCTATACGATTCTAATGATATCTTTTAAAGTGATTTGCGCCAACTCACTCTCGGAGAAGTCAAGAAATCGTCGCGGAGTTCTTGGGTACTTAAAAAATGACACGAAACTTTCTTTCGTGTCGTTCGAAAGAAGATTATTGAAATGACAACTCTTTTGTGAGAACGGTGTTGTTTGCCCTCGCGACGTTAGGATTCGGGAGTGACTGTTAGTTTGTTCCCCGAGGAAAAATTCTGCCTGTATTGTGTTCCTCCATCGATGAGGGTGATTTTGGAGGTGGCGATGGGGGTTGTGGAGAGCGGGCGATCCAATTTCTATAGAATACAACTTGAATTATGCAGAGTGAGTCGTCAGAAAATGTAGGTTATTGAAGTCCGATATACGGCAGCTTATAACTAATGGACCACCTAATAAAGAGTTGTATGTCACTTCCTCATGAGAAATGATAGCCCGACATTTTTAAATCACAGTATTGAAAATATGAAACCATGAAGCCGGTTTGGCGCTCTATTCTGTATCAATTAATACGTAAAGTATATATACGGTTATACATAGAATCAAATGAATCATTCTCGTCCTCTCGCTCGAGTGACCAATTGTAACACTTCTCGGAATACTACAGAATTCTAGCTTTGACGTCAACAACCAGAACTATTTCCGATCTAAACGACGAATGTAGCACTATCTCCCACATCGAATCGATCACACGACCGCGTCTTGTTAGAGCACGCCCGAGATCGCTTCCGATCATTTTTCCAGTCACGCCATTTCGTACACACGCGGGGACCCTCGTGTGATATTTCTTGTTGCACGCGCGAGACCACGTAATCGTTCGAATGCATTATCACGACGTGTGCTGTTACGTACCGCAACATGGGTTCTACTAGATTCTTCTTTCAAAACTTCTTTTTCTATATTATCTTCAAATCCTATTTCAAACTTCTAAACTTAATTTACTTTGCAAGAGTTTTATGTGCGCGCGTGTGTGTGTGTGTGTGTGTGATCTTTAAATTACTTCAGATGTAGACTATAAACAAATAACCAGCATGTCTGAACTGATGGTAGGACTTGGGTTGTGAAACCCTTAGACATTGAAGAATTCAGTTCTCATAGTTATTTCTTAAAAATTATATATTATTAAATCATTCCGATGTAACGTGTAAAGTTCATTTAGTTCAGTTTTCGTCCGACGTCAGTCTCGTCAGACATCTGATCAAGAAAACTCTCGTCTAGCATTCAAATTGTAAGATTCTAACGAAACATCCAAACTGTAAAGTTCTCAACCGTTTAGCTTTTAGTATTTAAACTACGAGATTTACATCACCCTATATATTCTGAATAAAATACTCTTCACTCGTGCCATTTAAATTCTGACGCGCACAACGTCCTCAAAAATCAATAATTGATATTACGAGAGTTATCGGCGCGCACGTAACAGTGCTCGTGTGTGTGCGCAAATGCCGTATAAATGCGGCGGCATCTCGCGCGTCGATGTAATCTCGCAGAAACAACTTACGGTCGCGACAATCCTGACGATAGGAACAAAACGTCAGCCCGTATTAGCTTTGATCACGTTCGGCCAATAGTCAGACGCAAAAAAAAGAGGAAATACGGGATGAGCAATCTCGCGGATCCTGACATCAGGCGGTCAAAAGCGAGCGAGCGGAATAAAATTTTTACAATCACGTCCGTTCCACCGGTTCTGTTTATTTGAATGCTTTCAATTAGACGCAAATGGAAATTGGCCGAAGAAATGAAAGAAACACAGGATGCGCGAGCTTGCAATTCGAATGGAACGTTTTCACCGCCCCGGGGCTAGCTTCAGCGCCCATGCCAAAGTGCACTACACCGTAACGAATATGTAACCATAAAAAAAGACAAACGAAGCCGCTATGCCCGTTTGGAACTCTCAAAAAATGAATTGACAGCGACCTCCGCGATGGTTTAATTATTTTCCGCTATTGCGCTGATATGAGACCTCTCTGTTTTTATGCGCGCTGTTGCCACGTGATCACGGTTATACGTCAACAAGGATATGTTTGACCATTCAGTTTTGACAGAACCTGCTAATCGAACGTTCATGCAATTTGTTTGTATAAATGTACACACGTTACTCGCTTATTCGGCGAGCAGCGGCCGACCCGTTCACAGCGCTGGCATTGTTTGAAACATTCGTCGCGTTAATTTCGTCGATTATCATCTCTTGTTTGCTGCAAATCGAAAGCCAGCGTGCATCGAAAAAGAAAAGAGAAGAAAAAGAAGAAGGCAGCCTCGAATTTCTTTATGAGCGAAATCCTCCTTAATGCTATTTTATCCGTGAATCCAATCTAAAAGTTAATTCCCCAAATGAATTTCTACTGGAAACACGTCGTGCTTTTAATTTACACGCGGCTGGGAGCCGGTATATATCTTGGAAATAAATGCGGCAGGAGGCAATATGGCGATTACAAGAGGCAATCTAGTTTTTAATGCCGTCAGATTTATTTATTTAAGCAGTACCAGGCGTACGAGCTGGCGCGCGCGGGCGCACGAACATCTCGCGCGCGGCTCTTCTTTCGGGCCGTTTATTCGACCGGAATTAGCTTCTGAATAATGCATGCGAATCCGGGTAGCGCGTTAAAGGTATAACACGATTTTATCTGGCATTTATGAGGAAGGCTAAGGACGCGACGAGAGTATGTATATGAACGCCAAACACGCCGGCCCCGGGGATCGCCCTTTTCTACGTTGTGCGGCGCGTTATTACATCGCCGCTGCGGTTAGCATTTGCATCTGTATCGAACGCAATAATGTTGCGCACAATACGAGTTTTCGACCCTCCCCCCTCGATCGCGTTAACGCGTAATCCCGCGTCCGAAGATTTCTGTCAACTGTTTCAGTGAAATTGAAAGGCCGCCGGCATGTTTCATCACGTGCACGCGCGCCTCCGCGCGAGATAACGCGTGCAACGCGTATAACGTTATGCAAAATTATATAGCACACGCGATTTCCTCACACCGTTTCCTCACAACGCGAGCGAGCGCGCTAATCAAACTAAACATATAACCGTGAAAGATATACATCAAGTTACGCGCCGTAACTTTCAATCGTTGGACGCGCAATTGACGCGGCTACACAATTACCGCGCCTATTTTCTCACAATATATTTAATTCCTGCCAATAAAAGTACGGTGCAATCGTACAGCTTCCTTTTGCAGTTAAATGTACTTGACCCGGGCGCAACAAACGGGTGTTGCACGTGTGTTGTGGGGACGCACATCGTGATATGCGAAAAAGATACGAATCCGAAAGCCGCATGACGAAAGGATCGATGCAAAGTATTAAAGCCGCCTTTTATAGACGTCACATAAGGCAGAGCGAAACGCTTATACTCGCGCTTTGCCGGTGTGCGTGTTTATGCGTTCGGTATGAAGCTTTCATTATTCAAAGGGTTCGTTACAACCAGTTATTTTCTTTCCTCGCGAATGCACACTATGTGAAGGAATACGCGTTAGGGGTGTAATTATCTCTTTCTTTCTCTCTCTCTCTCTCTCTCTCTCTCTCTCTCTCTCTCTCTCTTTCTCTCACACACACGCGCTCACAGAGTTACATGAATCATCAAAAAGTGCGATAGGTGCGTGTTGCGCGGACGATGCATATTAGAAAAGCGTAAAGTCATCCCACCCTCTGTGGGGCCCTATGACTTTTTCATGAACCTTCGTCGCGGAATCTCACCAGACGATTGTAACATCATGCGGCGAAAAAAATCGTGATTTCGTATTAATTCATCACGAATGTTTAAAATCGTTAACGCTAATGATTCACTGTGTTGACTCTGCGAAGAAGAGTCGAAAATGGACGAACGTATATTGTGCAGTGGTCTTGCTGCCTATCGGCGCATTGTCTTACGAGAACACAACAATGACGCCGAGTGAAACAGGCGATATAGATACTAAAATTATCTTAAAGTTTGTTATACTTTTTAGTGACTCGGAATTTAACAGTCTACTTCCTTCCAATTAATAATAGTAATGAATAATAATAATCGCGAAAGTATGTCGGTAATTTTCATACTCTTCAAGCCGAATCGAAAACAAGTCGCTGGAGAACGCGCACTCACCTTGCGGCACTATCTTGTCCTTATCTCTAGTCCAATAATTGATAGACTTCGGGAACGCTTCCGAAGAGCATTCGAGGGTAAGCCTCTGACCCACGCGAGCGCCTACCAACTGATTCTGCACCCAAATCATCGGTGGAACTGAAACAACCAAGGCACACAACTTGGTCTCTGCGATTCCAAGTTACGCGATATTTCCTTCCTTCGCCGCGACGACCCTTTGTTATTGCTGTCACGAGATGTAGCATCTTTTTTCCTTATTATTTTCGATTATCCTCGATAATTCAAGAAATGACCAACGTCATATATAAATGTTTCATGAATTAATTAGCTGTATTTAACGAAAACGAGTTCGAAGGGAAATAAAATACCTCATGATATATGATTTAAAATTTCAACTGAAATTTCATCCCCAGTGAAATACGCGTGATAAAGAGAAGAACAATACGTACAATGTACAGTAAGCATTATCCTCTTACTAACGGAGGGCGGCACACCATTGGACGCGATGCATAAATAGGAACCCATATGCAACCGGTCCACTTTTGTAAGGCTGAAGCTCGAGCCGTCCACGGTTGCGACTAAACAGACGGAAAAGATAATTATGATAAAAGGTTAGATCCTGAGTACAACAAACAGTGACGCAACGAAAACGTAAGCTTTCGATTATCTGAGCCGGTATATGCCATTATCGTGAATCTCACCCGTCGCTTGTCGATCAAATAACAAGCGATGCGAGGATAAATCTGCAAGATATTCCCAATCGGAGATACGCTTATTTCGCGGAATTTATTCGCAGAGGAAAATTTCGTTTGCCGATAAATTGGTTTAAAAAATGGGAAAAAAGGGAAGAAAAAAAAAGAGGCGCAAAAATTTCATCGGGGCGGACAAAATTACAGCTGTACGGTGTAAAGGTATCAATAAGTTCGCAGCGAGAATTTCCGTGGGAAATATGATCGATGTTATCGGTGATAAATCGAGATAGATGTAACTTTCACGCTATGACATCGAATGCTTTCCGTGTCAATCGATTCTCGCCATGAAACACCGAACGTCAGTGCTCTGTGCGAAATTTGCTAAATTTTTGTTTTTTTATTCTCGGGGATGTTACAGTTTTCGGGAATTTCGATAAAGTTATAGTTATAGACAGCTCTCGGTGTATGGGAAAAGTGCATGACGCCGTTTCTCGCCGGGCTGATTTCACATCGATATTTTTATCAGTACTGGCAGTTCGCACAACTGCAGAAATTCCAAAAAACTCCCGCGATTCCATCCGGTTAAAAAACGTCGTTTTGTTGTTGTCAAAACGATGAGGTCGAACGTGGGTCCCGGATCGGCCGCCCCTCCCGGCCCCTCGCGCAGTTCTTAACTCGCAAACGGTGTGACGATGGATTAAAATGCACGTTTTATCCGGAAAAACGACGGCGATTAGTCAAGTCGCAGCGAGAAACGATTCTATTTAATTCGCCCGGCGAATGGAATAACGCCGGGACAGCGTTTGCCCGTACTTCGCGTGGCGAGTTTCGTCGAGTCATATTTTTAAACGCGCTCGTCCACTTCGGTGAAGTTCGCCAAGTACGTTCGCGCAACTTTTTCGACGTCAGTACCATTGCCGGCGTAGCACGCGACACGGCGGAAATTGGTTGCCAAAGTTCCGTCACTTATACGTTTCAATTTAAAAACGCATTCAGCATGTTTACGCGCACACGTCCCCAATTCACAGATGCGAGAATTTCTGTCTGGAAAAAAATAATCGACGCGTCTTAAAAACAAAAAAAGGAATTAAATAAAATAAAGAGGAGATGCGCGCGAGCGCGTGCCGAGAGGAGAAGTTCCACGACGGCGTCGTCATCGGAGCGTTTACTCGCGTTGCCGGTACACGACGAAAATTGCGCGCGAAGTTTCGCCATTTTATCAATGTAACCATTATCGCCAACGAAGAAGGACCACTTCCACGCGCTAAAATGCACTGGAAAAATGCGCAAACTGCTTTGACGGACGACCGCATAATGCAGCAGCTGCGACTCGATTTCGAGCAACTCCCCGACATGTGTGCGACCTCTATGAAGCATTTTAAACTATACCGGTATGCGCACCGAGAATGAGATAATAAATAAAACATGCTGCCAACTACTGTGAAGTTTGCTGAAATTGTTAAACAAGTCATCTCGCAAACTCTAATTATCCATAAAAAATATTTAATAACCATCATCAATAATGCACGAGATAAAACGGAAACTCGGAAAATTTTATTATAAATTGCAAATTATCCCGCTGTAAAATTTTTCCAAAATTGGGTCATAATTGTAACGGGTATGATCGTGAAACATCGAAAAAGGGGGGAATTGACCAGAGACATCGAGGAGGAGGAGAGTTCCGAGCTCTCGCCGTCGACCGTATCCTTTCTCCCTACATTCGAAATTCAAACAGCAATTTACAGAGAGTCGTCAACTCCTGCAACACAGTTCGGAGAGAGTACCTGTATTACAGGGTGCAAATTCAGTTTACTTATCCGAAAGTTGAGGCTGCCTATGCCCTCCCGCTGACCACAATTAAATCCGCCAGAATATTTGCACGCTGATGACAAATTTAATGTCGTGAAAGGTCGCAAATTAACCATTCGCCGCGCACAGACAAGCAAATCTGTCAAGACAGAGAGAAAGAGACAGAGGGAGAGAGTCTTTGCGCGCCCTCAAGCACTCACCGATTGCAATGTGAAAGTAAACGAAGAAGTACGTTTGTTGCAAATACAATTTAATATCTCGATTGTTAATGAAACCAACTCTCTTAAGTTTGAAGCTAGACAAGATAAGATTATTGGATGTCTCGCACCCAAGTTGCTAAATAATCCAATAACGTTTCGGTAACAGTATCCTGATCATAATATCATTACGGTGCGCATCACCGGATTATTACAGAAAGGGACCGAATTTAACATTACAAGTGTACCTCGGCCCACAGTGATGTTGAAATACAGGGTGTATCCGGTGCAACGCGCAAATGTAGAATCCAATTCATTCAAACTGAACGAAAAAGCCTTCTACTACTTTGTAAACAACCACGTGAAACTTTGAGGTATTAATTATCGAAAACCTAGATGTTAGCAGGCAAGAGCATTACTAGGGGATATCTCTAGGGCTGACCTTACAGAATATATCCGGTCGCTGAGTAAGAAGGATGCCAAGCTGGCGACGCATATGCTTACAGAAAATAATAAACTACTACTATCTCTCCCTCTCTTTCTATACAGGTTAGAGCGTAACGATACACTCAACTATAGGAGATGTAGAAAAGAGAATACAACTTTCCTCCATATCCTTGGTCAGTGCCTAGCTTATGTCGGGCTGAAACTTCGAACATTGGACTCGGCCTTTCCCGGTCCCGAAGACTTAGGTAGCCTGTCGACCAAAAACTTTCTCTTTTTTTGCTTATTACAATCGCTCATACTGACGTCTATCCTACCGTCAACATAAATCCGAATTTAACCCATAGTGCGCGTAATTGTACATATACAAAACATCATTTCTGCTTCGTCCACCTGCGAATTCATAACTACCTCGGTCTTAAACAAGTAGGTTTAAACAGGTAGGCGATTTACTGAGGCGAAGAATACAGTGGATTCAGACTGTGTGCCGCTGGTGTGCATACTTTGAGGATTGACAATAATACGAGAAGTGATTTTCTTTGCGAACTTGAGGACACATACTGTTGGACCAACACTAACTATTGAAATTTAATCAACGAGTGCTATGACGAGTTCTTTAGACTCTTATCCAAAATGGAGTCTTTCCAAAGATATATGAATCTGGAGTTCCTTAAGTCAGAGTTAGGACATTGTCCGCTATTTAGGGAGGAAGTGGATACCTTATTGGGCTAATAGCGTAATAGCAGAACCATGGACAGCGTGATCGTAGTTTAAGGTCGCTACGGCTGTTTATTGTCCCAGCCAACGTAGGAGAAGCGTGCGCGCGTGCAGAGGTCCGCGAGATCCAGGTCGCGCGTATCGCGCGCCCACGTGTTTGCCAATTTCAATGCAAATATAGAAGATCTTCTCGGTTTCTGCAAACGTATCACCTCGCTCTAACCTATTGGCCTTGCCGCGTGGTATGTTTGCGCTCCCAAGCGACCGCCGAGCTTGATACTCCAAGAGCGGCGGTGGCTCGGATGCATTCGTGCAGTTTAGCCCGAATGTGTATCCTCCGCAAATATAAATCCTTTTTTTTCCTGCCCTCTCACCTACCTCTCTTCTGTCTCCCTCTCTCTCTCTCTCTCTTCTGCCTGAGGAACAGCCTTTGCGATCGTGTGCGTCCGGAGCGAGCTTTTGGCGCGTTGCCGTTGCATTTGAGAATGTTAAGAAGATATTTACTCGGTACAAGCTATTCGAACTCTCTTCCTTCATTTTACTCTCTTTTTCTCTGTCTTTTGTGTCAAAACTGGTTTCTGGATATAATATCGCAAATCTTTTTGGAGCTTCTGTTTCTCGAGGATGTGAAAAGGACAGTTTTACGATATCATGGATTTATTTAACATTAACATGAGAATTCATCCTGTCCCCAAGAAAGCTCTTTAACTTAGGACACTGAATAATATTTCCGAACAGCTCCGTGCGTCCGTTTCGCGAACAATGTCATCGTTACATGTAATTGTTTCTTGCATGGTCAACGTTCCGAAAGTTCGAAGAATTTATAAATAAAGTTCTTCTAGCGTACTTCGTAACTTGGCGCAAATTAAAAAGGACGAAATTAACGCGCATCCCGTGGCCGGAATATCTTGCAGCGTAACAGCACACCAATACAGCGCAAAACTTTGCAAAGGGCCGAGAGATATAGTGCGGCCAAACTGTCCGGCGGTCTTTCAAGGCAAACACGGAGCGCAGAAATTTTGCGATCGCTCGGTGTGGCGAGCTAATGACACATAAAATACCCGCCACAGTGTGGAAGTGAGAGACAGACGAGTTAGGAGATGGGTTAAAAGCGCAACCCCGAAAGAGACCGCATCGCATGCGAACGATCACCAACTGCACTCCAGCCAGCAGGAGTATCAAACGCCATGTCTTTAGCTCGTCGTATTCGATTAGCTCTCATCGTGACGAAGCGTCCGACACGACGACAACGATATCAACGGTGGAAAAGCGAGCGAGTGCGAGCACGAGACGCGCCCACCTAAATTCAGCGAAATTTTCTCGACTTTATCGCCGGCCTGACTGCGAATTACGCTCGTTCGCGGGCAACTCGTTCAAACTCACCTCTCTCCCCGTTGCCGAGGTTAATTAGCTGACCGTCCTCACGCCGCCAGGTGATGTTGGGCGCCGGTGAACCGGTCGCGGCGCAACGCAGGGTCACGTTCCGTCCTTCCGCCACCACCATGTCTGTGCTGGTCTCATAGTCCACGATATCGGGCGGCACTGGACAAGGGAACTGTTATCGTTAGAATACACCACTGTCGATAAGCGTGGGTTAAGGCTAGTGAACACTTTAGCGTCGAAAAACGTACTCGAGACAAATCAGAGTACGATCGAGGATTGAATTATTCCAATATGTCGCGCTCGCAATTATGTTCTAAAATGGAGAACTGTTCATTGTGAAGTTGTACACGAAAAAAGAATGTCCGTTTACGCAGCTGAATAGGGACCACATATAAACATTCGGTAACCAGAAATGATGTATATGTTACCGCATTTACCGAAAGCATTTGTCTGAACATTCAATTGTATTCAAACTTGGTTGCAATAACTGACAAGTAAACCTAAATTGAAAAAGTACACCTCGATTTCTTTCTAATTTAGCATAAATGTAGAAGTACAAAAAATATTTAGGTCATCTTTTTTTCATTTTGGCCCACCTTTAAGTTTCACAAGCAGTTTATAGATTCTTAATGTTCTCACTCCAATCATCAATAAGTATAAAAATGCATAAAAAATACAAGTGGATACAAAATATAGTTAAATAATTTTAACAAAATCGGCATAGCTGAGACACAAACCATTCTAAATTTCTTTAGTCGAGATTCCAACCAAAATATTTCAAATCTATTAAATTAATAAAAAATGATTTGAATATCGGCCAAACCGAGAGAAAGGGGAGGGGGAAAGAGAGAGAGAGAGAGAGATCGACCCAGCAATTTAAATTAAATTTTTAATAAAATCGGCATAGCTGAGCCACGAACCATTCTAAATTTCTTTAGCCGAGATTCCAACCAAAATATTTCAAATCTGTGCTAAATTAGTCAAAAATAGTTTGAATCTCGATCAAACCGAAAGAATTTCCGGCAATTTTAATTAAAATTTTAACAAAATGGGCATAGCTGAAACACTAATTTAGCACAGATTTAAAATATTTCGGTTGGAATCTCGGCTAAAGAAATTTAGAATGATTCGTGTCTCAGCTATGCCGATTTTGTTAAAATTATTTAACTATATTTTGTATCCAGTTTTATTTTTTATGCACTTTTGTTGTACTTGTTGATGATAGGAATGAGAACATTAAAAAGCTATAAACTGTCCGTGAAACTCAAAGTGTGTGTGTTTGTGGGCCAAAATGAAAAAATATAACCTAAATATTTTTTTGTATTTCTACATTTGTGCCAAATTAGAAAGAAATCGGAGTATAACGTTTGGATAAGTTTACTTGTGAGAAAAATTGACTAAAAAGAAACAAAAATCTTTCTATTTCTACTACCAAGTTTTTCATCTGGTTCCTTTTCTTAGCAAGCAGCAAAAATTCGATTATAATGACAATTGTTTTTTTTCGTGTAATAGAAAGTAAACTACTATTTATTAGCATCCATTTTAGTCACTGACACTCTAGAAAATCTTTTCATTCTTCTTGTGACTATTTGTTTACAAATTTAGCTGTGAAAGTTTCTTTTAGAATCATTGAGTGCAAGTATAAAGTTAAACTGCAACACAGGTCGCATGTAAAACCAAATTTGCTTAGAATATGAACGACTAAAGAGGATGCCAATAATTGTGTATTTTATCTTATCTCACATAGTTATCGCGTATTAAAGATACAAACTCAAGTCGAACTTAATAGAACGACGAAAAATGCTGGGATTGAATCGCCGCTATATTTATCTTCAATCTCTTTAATGGACGTATCTTTGAAGGCACAGAAGGATCAGATGCGACATGTAATAGGAGCGCGCTTGCATCCGGATACCAGAAATTAGAAGATATCATCCACAAAGTATACACGATAATAAATCTTTCTCTTTCTCTCTCATTTACAACCTTTCGTTTACAATGCTGTAAACTCTAAGAGGTCTATGTATCTAGTAAATAAACTCTATCCTACTCTCCGTCAGTGATGCGGCCAAAGAAACGAGAATCTCCTCGTAACACTTAGCGCAACAATAACGTCCGCGAGTTACTCGCACAGAAAGAGAGAGAGAGAGAGAGAATGAAGGGAGAAGGAGAGAGAGAAAGTGCAGAGCGAGGGTGGACGAGTATATCTGTCCGTTCATAAATCAGCCGGCGCGGATTAGTTCTGCATGCGCGCGGAGTCGAGGGTGGAAACTACTACGGTACAGCGCGGCTCTTCAACAACGTATGACACGGCAGGGACACGTGCGCACACGCGACGCATGCAGGCTGCACGTAATAAAGTAGAGAACGATAACGGCGCAACGACGCATCCGCGTCATCTCCGGCCGGAAGCAAACTCACGACGCACACCGTCTAGCTGAATGTTGTCTACGGCCGGACCTCCGTAGCTCGGGCATTAAAGAGAGCCACCCCGAAGGACGTTCTCATTTTGGGTTCCGTACGACTTCCCGAGACCCGAATAACGCCGAGTTTCGTGGAGTTTAGGATACGGCCTGGATACGACCCCGAGAATGCCCGGGCTGTTCGCTGAAGCGGTTTCGCGAGTGCATGTATATGTATGTATTGCTCTGTTCACTACATCCATTATCAAAAATTCTCGAGACCGCGTAGATACATTCGCGAAACATGAAATTGCCTCGTGCGACTTCTCGAAGCTGATTTCTCTGAATATTGCGCGCGCCAAGAACATTCACGCACAAACACGTCCGTGATCCATAAAGTTTCCGGCCGTTGCGACCTCCCAAATCAGGATTATGAGATTTGTAATTGAGGATTTGTTATTACTGGCACGAATTGTAAAGTAAAAAAACAAAGCAATTATTGTTATAAGTGATAATTATTTTTTGTTGCAATTTTAATTAAATTCGAGTCTAATTAGTCTTAAATAGTCTCAAAAAGCATTTGTATAAAATTTTAATCATTTTTAATCAATCTGGACTTTAAACATATGTGCTTTTTCAATTGTATTTCAATTCGACTTTAATAATTTAATAATTTATAATTATAAAAAAATAATAGACATTTAATTATAAAAATATTCAGTTATTTACCAATCTGCCAAGACAAATATTAAATAAAGCAACAAGGCCGCAATCACGATCTGCAGAGAGTGCCGACGTACATACGTGCAAACATAGATTGTAATTTCCGCCATCTTTGCAGAAATCATAACCCGAATGATATCTCGATGACTCCCCGTGGCCAAACTTCTCCATTCAGCTACAGAACGTTAAAGACAAGCTAGCGCTTTTCCCTTATTTTTTCCTTCTCTCATTCCGGCTGTCTCGCCTTCTCCCAGGGCGTTGAACAAACGCGTCCCTCGCGAGTAATGTCTTACGAGGTTCGCCAACATGCGAATCGGCTCGAAGGCTGCATCGGTTTGCCGGAGGGAGGAGCAGGTCGAGGTTGACGGGGTCGATTTTATTCCGCCCTACGGCCGGAACTCGATTTGCGGTTGAGTGCCCGTATGGGTGATGCTGAATTGGCGGGTCAAAGCCACCTAGAGTCTCCACCGGCGAGAGCCTCCCCGCTTCTCTTCCGCTCGCCCTACCTGCTCTACCTACCTACCTACCCACCTACCTATCCACTCACACAGTCAAGCTTCGAACGTATGTATGTACGTATGTATGTTCGTTGGTTGGTTGGTTGGTTGGTTGGTTGGTTGGTTGGTTGGTTCGTTCGTTCCTTTTGTTCGTTTGACCCTACACGTATTTGGAGACCACGCGGGTTTTGATAGCAACGCGATTCGTGGCAAATCTTTGTGCGTCCCGTGCGCGATATTCGCGCTTTCTACCGACGTTCCTGCAGTGTCGGAACGATTCCGTACTACATCGCACCGTGAACGTAACACGTGCACGTTACGGTACAATAGAATAGAACATGGAATTGAACAATGAAGAAATGCCGATTGACTGATAATTTCGGCTTTCTGAAATTGGCCTGATTTAAATGGATAGCCTCCCCTAATTACACATGTCGCGTGTGCGCGGTAATCTTATAATCTCAATTTGAGCCTGTAGCGTATTAACGATTCCTCGATTATACCCCCGCGCGTATGCTCGTTAAAGTTTTAATTCTGATAGCCCTTAATTAGTAAATTTGTAGAGTTCACGCAAAAGAAGCGGCAGCTTCTGGCAAAGGAGCTTCCCGTCAAAAAAGTTGAAATATAAATAGCGGTCCACTATCTACAAGAGCAGGAAAGCTCCCGCATTTCTGTATAAAAACAAAAGTACATTGCTCAAAATAATTATAAATTTAAATTTCTCAAACATCTTATCAATCAATTTTATATAATCCACGTATAAAAATGGTTTAAATGGTTCTTGATATTAATAATTAATTAATCGATTCACAGAGTCTGCCCGGGACTAAGCAATTCGCGAACTATAATTTAATAACTGGCCAGTTTTTTGATGTCGATATATATATAGTGAAAACTTAGTGAACAAATTGGACATTATTGTAGTGTGTGCAGTTCGCTTTTACTCTTCCATTCCGTCCGCTATTCCGCGTGTTCTGTAAACTCACGGACGCCAAACTACAAAACAAAACTCAATGCAATCGCTCATGCGGCCGCTGCCGTCTACTCCACCGCATCAATCTAAACCCGAATCTTAACTCGTGGCGCGCGCAACTATACATGTACGAAGCGTCATTTCTGCCTCGTCTACCTACGAATACATAAACTACCTCAGTCTGCGCATTCGCGCACATTTCGCGACGCTTTTTTCACTTCTTTCAGCCCGAAATAGGACTGAAATATCTGAACAGTAATATCGAATAAATATCTTAGATAATTCACGACAAAAAAATTTGGTTCAATTAACCATAAATATTTGTTAAAATATGAACGAATCGGAGAATCCATACCGTTCTCACAGTTAAAATTTTTATAATACATAATGCACACTCGATTACTCCAACTAAATTTTTCTTTGCTTGTCAGAGATAGTGAATTTTCCTTATTATACTATAAAATCCATGCAAAAGCTTTTGTAAGCCCTTTTATACTTCCTTCATTAATGTTTTTCCTTTTCTCAGAAAAATACACGTGAACGTGACCGGCGAATTTTAAAAGT